GTTGAGAACGCCATGAGGATCGCAGTTGGAAGTGAGTGTATTCTTGGAAGGATTCTAGGCATGCGGTGATGGCTTCTTCTTTTTTTTTTTTTTTTGGGCTATAGAAAGCGATGATTAAAAAAAGCTATATTGGGTGTTGGTGATTTTCATGATAAATAATACAGTACCGTGTTTCCCTGGGGTTCAAATTTATTCGTTTTATGATTATCTCGTTCGATGCCTTTTTTTTTTTAGGAAAGCCTCGAAGCACACTTCACCCGCTTTCTTTTCCAAATTGTTATTATCTATTGTTCATTTCCATCAGTATCCTGGTGAACTATGCCTACAACAATCTTCTGTACTGTACAACGATTTTCTCTCTATAATGATTTTTAAAAAATACGATAGGGTTCTCTAAAAAAAACATTTTCTCTGCAACAATTTTTTCTGGTTCCTTCGTAGAGAGATTTTGTTGCAGAGAGAATATCATCCTGTAATATTCTGGAATAATTTGCAGTTGAATGGGAAATCCAGGGCTGCATTTCTGTCGATTATAACGTAAATTCCTTATACTGTATATCATCTCCAGAGAATTAGAAGATTTGTGTCAACTGGATAATCTGCAGTCTGAATTCTTTTCATGAATAAAACAGTCTTGCAACCAATATTTCAGTCTAGTAATTAAAAGTGAAAAAGCCAGTAAATTATCATCCATGAAGGGCTAATGTTTTTTTCATTTATAGAAAAACAAAATATTTAGATGGATAGTAATTTCAGAAAGAGAAATTCAAGCTGCTGATTTTCTGGTAGATTTTGGAACCCACAGTCATGTTGTTTGTATGACTCAGTCCAATTATGCATAAATGGTGACATTTTGTTACAAAAAGCTGTTGAGACCTGGGAAAAATCTTTGTTTCATCAATAAATTCACAAGAATCAATTTAAGTATTATTAGCCACTACAGTATCACAGTACCCTCAAGTGGCATTGTGGCTACTGTGCAGGGACCTGGAAACTCATTTCTTGCAAGTCAATATCAGTTATAATGCTATTTTTTGTTGAAGATTTTAGTGTACAGTACTGTACTGTGCATCAACCTGAAAGAAAGCTTATCTGATGCATGAAGTGCAATTACAAGAAAAAAAAATGAATCACCATATTTTATTTTATTCTGTGATATCTGAAGTTTCTGGAAGATTGGGTTTGTGAATAATTTAACCAGAAATGACCTGTTTCAGCCAACCCTAACTTCTATTTCGCATTAGGACAATTTCAGAAAATTGAGGCGACACCTATACAACACCAAATAAAATCAGAATAATCCGGGACATGATGCGGGGGAAGTGAAAAAAATCCAATCCATGGTTAGGAATTTCGATGCCATGTATTTCGCCATGAACCGTTTATAGAAAAAAATTCCGAGAAAGCATTTTGCTTCGTTGCAAGGAAAGTCATTTTCATAATTGCGCCGGATAATGATTAAAAAGAGGAAAATGAACAACTTGCTCATCGTGCTGTTTATTCCTGCATGCATGGCATAGAAAAACGCGAATTGCATTCGCCAAATTTACGTTTGGCAAAAATTGGGATAATCTTCAGGATAATGCTTCGTATGCCGATTTTTAGTGGCAGTAATCTTGATGCTACGAGCGTTCAAGCAATGCTCTCTCTTTCTCTCAAAAAAAAGAAAGAAAGAATGAAAAAGAGATCGGACTCTTTTTGTTTTTGTGTGTATGGATTACGGACTCTCAGCTGTGATTTCCCCCGGTGTGCAGGTGGAGGAGAAATTCCCCCGAGTCTCGCCGTGTGGATTCCTTTTGCGGAGACCCACTTTTTCAGAAATTGGTGTTGGTAGGATTTTTGCACGTGGATTTCCGCAGTATGTATTACGAGTTGGATCGACTGACGGGAAAGTGTGTTAATCGGTCCCTTTTAAACCGTGAGAACATGATCCTCCTCGATTTATTTCTTTCGTCCAGTTTTTTTTTTTTTCTTTTTTTCTTTCCCAAAGGGAAAGCTGGCGATTGTAGATGGTTGAGGAAGGGGAAAAAATTGCTGAAATGTAATTTTGTGCACAGATGATTTTCCCGACGGTACCGAATATTGTATAGTGGTTTTGCTGCTTGAAAAATTATGCAGTATTTTTTTTTTTTTGCACTACGCCGAGTTTACTTTCTCATCCGCATTTTCTTTTGCGTCACACGCTTTGCGGTTGAAATCACGAAATCTTTCTACCGTGTTCACGCAAAAAAGACGCATTTTTTATTTCTGTATTATTGTGAAATTATTTGAGATTGTATTGCATTTCTATGTTGAAAACGTATTTATTCAGTTTTCT